CGTGCGTGTCGAGTGCGCGAAATGCAGGCGAGAGTGCGATTTGCCGGCTGTGCGCGCAACCCTCTGCGGAGATCGTGTGTGTCGATAGCCACGCAAAGACTTTGGCTGACAACAGGCAGTGGAAGCCAGCTTGCTGGCTGCCATTGTCCAGATGGAAAGCCAGCACGTTGGCTACCATCATAGTTGAAGTGGGTATGAGCCAGCACGCTGGCTGCCATCATAGTTGAAGTGGGTAAGCCAGCACGCTGGCTGCCATTGTCCAGATGGCAAAGCCAGCACGCTGGCTGCCATCATAGTTGAAGTGGGTATGAGCCAGCACGCTGGCTGCCATTGTCCAGATGGCAAAGCCAGCACGCTGGCTGCCATCATAGTTGAAGTGGGTATGAGCCAGCACGCTGGCTACCATCATAGTTGAAGTGGGTAAGCCAGCACGCTGGCTGCCATTGTTGAGATGGCAAAGCCAGCACGCTGGCTACCATCATAGTTGAAGTGGGTAAGCCAGCACGCTGGCTGCCATTGTCCCCTTACCAGCAGCCCAAATGCTCACGACGATGAGCTGGGCTGTCACCGCTTGGCCGCCGGTGGGGGGTTTGGGAGGCCGCATCACACACACAGACACCCACACACTCCCTCAACTTACACGAACACACACATACGCAGACTCATTTCCACACGGACATAGACACACGCACAGAAACCCACACACTACCTCAACTCACTCGACTTCACACTTCTCACTGCACACTTACCGGATAACTCGCACTCTGACTTCCTACGTGATGAAAAATGCTTTCGGGCCACTCGTCGTCTAGTTGTTTTATGCATGTTTGTATTTTTCAAATTTTCTCCAGACCATTCTTGCTTCCTTCGAATGTTAGTCTGCCCATTCTTCGCTGCAAGCTCTTTTTCTGGATCAGCCGGCGTCCACAGCCTGAGAAAGCAATGAAAGGTCTTTTCCATGTCGAGAAAGCAAAGAAGACTTGCAGTTTCAATGGGAGGCTCTTAAAAGTGTCTTGACAAATAACTGGTAGTAAGGGATCTCGGCTTTGCTCTCTAGCACACAAAACATGCTCTGCCTTCTTTTTCTTTTTCTTCCCAGCATCCTTTGTTGCCTCAATGCATTGCAGGAAAACCTTAAAGCACTGCATCTAAGGCTGGCTTAGGAACCCTAGCCTCATCTTTGCCCTTTGAACCTTGCAGAAATGTGGCAAGGCTTTCACGCATCTGAGACATCGATCAACACCTACATCAAACCTCCAACATGAAAAGGGATGAACTACATTCCGGCCTTTGTCACCATCAGCGGCTGGTTTGGATGAAGATTCCTTCATGCAGTTCAAAGCACATGAGTGACGGTCACCAATGAATCAAATTCAGGAACTGCACCTAGATTCCAAGATCACTAATTACTAGCGATGGCCTCCTCCACCCTAGTAGCGATGGCCTCCAACCTAATTACTAGCTGGCAATGGCCTCCACCCTAGTAGCGATGGCCTCTAACCTAATAGCCTTTTCTATGCTTCTCTGCGACGTATTCTTCCAAAACGGAGAGTCGTCTAATGCACTGCTCCTTGTCTTTCTTGGTCTTGGAGTCTGTCTTGCTGGGCTTGTCTGGCTCAGCCTGGTTTGCGATCACTAGTGTCCCTAGCATAGTGCACGACAAAAACGCGGGCTACTGCAATTCATGCCGGTTCATGTGCAACAAGATATGGTCATGTAATAGGCAACTACAGCCAAGCACCTCTGATTTCCGCTTCTTTGCAGGTGCTGGGGCATCGGCCTAACAGCGACTGACAAGAAGTAACAACTCACAACACACCGACCTCTGTTGTCAACAAACTCCTTGCAAGTGACCTCCTTTTTCTTCTTGGGAGCCTCTTTGGCAGCCTGCCAGCAAACAACGTCAGATTGCTATTTCTCCCAGCATTGCCAGTTGAAATGCTGGCAAGCACATAAGACCTTCTGCTCCATACAAGTTGTCAGGGACTGCACAAGAGATGCTGGCCTTGTCTTTGCCCTTTGAACCTTGCAGAAATGTGGCAAGGCTTTCACGCATCTGAGACATCGATCAACACCTACATCAAACCTCCAACATGAAAAGGGATGAACTACATTCCGGCCTTTGTCACCATCAGCGGCTGGTTTGGATGAAGATTCCTTCATGCAGTTCAAAGCACATGAGTGACGGTCACCAATGAACCAAATTCAGGAACTGCACCTCGATTCCAAGATCTAGTTCATTGATCCAAGGAGCCTTGAGTGGTTTGTCCAATCTCTGGAAGCGCGCTTCAAGCTCATCCACCGGCTCCTTCAACCGAAGCCAAATTCCAAGTTGCATTCGAAACAAATTCCAGCGAAATGTGGGCTTGGATGGAGAAGACCTTTGCAAACAGGCTTTCTCCATCGCTGCTTTTGTTTCTGCCATCCGGTGCAACTTCTAGGTTTAGGTCCAGCGAAAGGCTCAGAGAATTCGTTGGTGCTGATTTCTTGGAGGTAGCTCTCTGCCTCGTGAAATTAACTTTACAGCACTTGGCATATTGGTGGAATGTTCAGTTTGCGGGCTGCATACTGTGTGTGCTGTAACATCAACAGAACACCTTATCGAGGTTGGACATCGTTGAAGAAAAACAGCGACAACAACAAAAGTGCGAGAATCGCAAGGAACAATTATATAGATCCGCTCAAGACTGAACACGGAGCTCTACAAGGAGCAGGAGCAATCTAATCTCAAACGTAAAGTCACGTGAATTTAATCTCAGCTTTTTCGATGCAACGACCATTTTGGACTTTCAAAGGTAGTTCTGCAGTGCTACCAAAGACTATGATAAGAAGCTTTAGTTCTGCACTACCAGCGATGGCCTCCAACCTAATTACTAGCTGGCAATGGCCTCCACCCT